CACTTTATCCGGCGTCCAGCGCAACTCGCTGTAACTGACGTCCCGCATGACGCCGGCTGCGGGCTAGGTGCTGTAGGGTTATTTGCAGAGCACAACGGAGGAGCGAGCCATGGGGAGTCCTGAGCCTGCCCTTCCTGTGTGACCGGCCCAGGGGGATGAGTGACAGGTGCTAGCTGGTGAGGAAGGAGAACAGGCAGCGGGTCGGGGGTGGGGGGGAACAGGCCCTGTCTTCTCTTCAGGTCTGCAGCGGGAGGAGAGGGCAGGGCCCTGGCTGGCCTTGGTGGCTGACCGAACGCCTGAGCTCTGTCCTTCGGCCATGGCGCACTCCTGACTGGGTCCTCCCCCAGCTCAGGCCCCACGGCCACAGCTCAGACCCACGGGATGCCCCTCGGCCCGAGTCCAGTCCTGAGCCCCGGCTTGTCCTAAATCCCGAGTCTGCTCACAGGCCCAGAGGGGACAGGCAGCAGGCGTCTCGAGCACCTTCTCTTGTACCTCTCTCACCAAGCCCAGTGGGAAAGAGGGCAGCAGGGCTCAGGGTGGTGAGGGTTCTCAGGACCCAGGCTCGGGCTGTGCCCACACACAGGTGGTGCTGGGTGTTGGCGGCCTGTCAGACCGCCAGCCTTCTGCGGCCACTCACGGCCTCTGTGTCTGCAGGAAAGAACTCCCTGGACACAGGTTACCTCGCTCTCCGTCTGCTGAACTTCAGAGGCTGTGGCAGCCCCTCTGTCCTCCAGCTCCGACAGCTCCTCGTCTGTGGTCCTGCGGGGCTGGGCAGGGTCCCCTGGGCTCTGAGGGCTCCTTTCCTGTGTGTGCATTTGGCCTGCAACTGTGCACACCTAGGAACGAGAAGGACCCACACTGACCCCGGCAGGAAGGGGCCCGGGGTCTCCCTGGGTGGGCACTCATCCCTACGCCTCCTTCCCCTCTGAGCTCATGGAGCTGTCGGGCGGGCTGGGTACTGGGCTGCTGCCATGGCCCTTGCTGCCCTAGTCGGCCGGGCTGGGCACTGGGCTGCTGCCACGACCCTCACTGCCCCAGTAGGCTGGCTGCCTGTCCTGGCCTCTGGAGGTCCCTAGGGCACTGAGTGTGGCCTACCTTTGGACCTGTCCGGGGGAGGGCCCCGACAGAGTACCCGCTGTCTGCCTCTGCCTCTTCGTCTTTGCCTTCCTCGTCCTCGAGCGAGGACCCCTGGTCACTGACGTTGCTGGTCAGCTCCTGCAGCTTCCTCTTTAGGGTCTCCTCTTCGTCATCAGCCTCTGCGTGTGCTCCGGCCACTGACCCCTGACAGGACAAGTGAGTGGGTTCACGCATTTGCCATCTGTAGGGGTGGGCTCCGAGGGTGGCCTGGCTGAGCACACCCCGGGCTTCCCCCAGAGGTGTGGCCCCCAACCCCACTCTGTGTGAGCCCGTCCAGAGCACCCCTGCAGGGCCCATCCCAAACCTACGGGACCAGGATCCGTGGCTGAGGACTCCCGGGTGGTGCTGACCAGAGCCCAGAGCTGTCCAAGTGCCACCTTAAGAAAATGGTTTTGTCTTTTCCTTCCTTAGTGTCTTTTTTTTCGTGGTATAACACACATACGGTATTGACCACCGTAACGGTTTTTAGTGTGCAGTGGTACTGCTGCAGACGCCCCTCGCTGATGGTACTCACGCCTGGATAAACTCGCCGTGAGTCTAAAATGCTGTGATTCGAAACGCACTTAATGTGCACACCACAGCAGCGGTCCCGAACTCTAACGTTCAACTCGTGCTGTGCTGACTTTGTGACAGCGCGGGCGTGAGAAGCACCGGGTCAGACCCAGTCCCGTCGCACAGTCCTAAGAGCTCTCGGTGTCTGGCGGGGCGAGGTGGAGCCCTCGGAAGCCGGGGCTGCCTGGACGTGCATGCCACTGTGTGCCGCCACCTCCTCCATTCACGAGCTCTTTCCAGCTGCCCAGACCGAAACTAACCCTCGCCCGCCGCCACCAGCTCCCCACCGCACTCCCCGGGCCCTGGCACTCTGTCCGTCTGTGATCGGCCCACTCCAGGTCCTCTGTGAGTGGAATAAGCGTCCTTTCGTAGCCGGCTTTTTCACTCAGCCCACTGTCTCAGAGTTCATGGTGCCATGGGATATGCCGGAAGTTCCTTCCTTCCCAGGCTGCAGAGGAGACCTGCTGCTTTTGAAAGACATCAAGTTCTCCTAGGCAGGTCTGTGAGACCAGACTAGCATCTCTGCGGCTCAGAAGCAGTTTCCAATGCTACGTTCTCGGTCATAATTCCCGGTGAGTGTACTGTAACTCCAGTTGCAGCTGGGAATTTTCTAGTTCTCTCTGCCTCCCCAGCTGGGCTCCCATTTCATTTGGCCCCAGCTTCGGACTAAGTGCTAACCCGAGACCACAGCCCTGGGCTGCCCTGACCTTGCTAGCTGAGGCTAACGGGGTGCCGGAGACCGAGGTGTGTGCGCTCTCCCCCAACGGCTGAAATGCACCGTGACTGTGCGACTGTGGGCTCAGCTCCACCTGCAAATGCCACGCCCCCTTCTGGCTCTGGGGTACATCCCGGACTCGGGTAAGGACAAGGGCATTCCTAAAAGTCCTGCCTCCCCCTGGCTGTGTGCCCACGAGCACCAGGCACGGGGCGAGGCCTTACAAGCACCAAGCACATTGCCAAGTCGGCTTTCAACAGAGACTCACCGAGACACCAGCAGTGAGCCGCCCGAGGTGCCCAGGGCAGTGTGTGTGTGGCGCAGTGGGTCTTGAATTTAGAGCCAGGGAAGATGGTCACCCCAGGCAAGTTGTTTCCTCATCGTAGATGAGATTTCTGTAACCCAGGGTGTTGACTTCCTGCCTTGGCTAGTAGGCGGCGCAGAGCTGATCTGAGTGCGCATCTCAGGCCAGCCCCTGAGTCCGGCATGGGCGCTCCTGCTGCCTGAACTCGGTCTCAATGCCCTGCTGTTGGTCATGGGGTGGTACCCCAGGAGGAGCTGGAGAGTCATGAGCCGCAGAGGAGGGGACAGCGGGCACCCAGGGGGTAGGTGCTTCTCACCTCTTCCGGCTAGTACCCTGGGGAAGGGACTGGACTCGTTTGTCTCTCTCTCTCTCTTTTTTGGTAGAGGTTTATTTTTGCTGTAGAGCACGTGCACTCACCAGAAAGGCAGAGAGAGACAGAGAGACAGAGAGACAGAGAGACAGAAAACAAGAAATCACCCCCCAGGGGGGATGGCCACGTTGCAATCCCTTCTCCTCCGTTCTCCTCTCGGGATCTTGGGCACGCACGCACAAGTACCCAGCATGAGTTTAAGCCACTGGGTCTGGGACTTGAACTGCGGTCGACTACATGAGAGTCATTTGTCTCTTATGGGCAGAGCAGGCCGCGGACGGGGGTCCAGCCCACCACCTGCTCTCTCTGCAGTCTGCCCAACGATGGCCTCATCAGCTCTCTGCCATGACGGGCCAGAGCACACGAACGAGAACAGCCACGTGGCGTGCAGGTCTGAACCCAATTCCCCTGGGTGCCCTCTGGGTAGGCGTGAGTTTGGGCAGACACGAGCCTTTGGTGAAGGGACTTATGCGTCCGCCCCAGGAGGTGTGTGACAGAAACACCAAGCAGGTGAATCCTCCCAATGACCCGCAGCGAGTGATGAGATCTGAAACACCCCCTCTCCGTGAGGGCAGCTCCAGCCCTGGAAGTTTGCTCAGGCAGGAACCTCGGCGTCTTCCTGACGCCTCCTTCCGTCTGGAACCGCTATCCATTCTGCTAGCTCCGCCTTCCACTGGCACCCGCAGCCTGCTTGCCTCCCTCACCCTCTGCTCGCTGCCTGGCCCGTCCCAACAGCCTACCTGCTGGCCTCCCGTGTCCGCCCTGCCTTCTCTGCAGCCTGTCCCCGCTGTGGCACTGCGGCCTTCCTGGCCACCAGCTGGCTCTGCCTGGCTTGAACCTCCACGCCTCTCCCAGTGAGAAAGGCAGAGCCTGGACAATGGCCTTGGAGGCTCGTACAGCCTGAACCTGCCCCCAAATGTCCCAGCTCTTCCTCTGTCCCGGCCCTCCCACCGGTCCTGCTCGCCTGGTCTGTCTAGCTCCATCGGCCCCCACCTGGGCCCGGTCTAGGTAGTTGGACAGTGATATGCGGAGGTCTGAGAACATGGCAGGAAGACTGCTACCTCGTCAGTTACAGCTCTCCCGGCTGCCGGCTCTCCTCCCTCCTGACACCAGGGGACGGAAGCTTATCTCACTTTTTTGTTACTTGAGCTTTCTTCAAAGCTTTCTTGTCCCTCCCGCCACTCTGCACATGCACACGGGTGTCCTCGGGGTGCTTGGTGAATGTCCCACTTCCCGCTCTCGCTGTGGTGATCATGGGATGGGAAAGTGGCCCCCATGCTCACGCGCATACCTGCACGGTCCTCCGCGGGCATGTGGGTGGCTGCCCCAGCTAGGCCGTCACGTCCCCTGACGTGAGGGACAGTAGGACGCGGCAAAGGCCTCCAGAACAAGAAAGGGATGGGCTACAGACCTCCCTCCTGGACACTCCAGACGAGCCCCACAGCAAAAGGACTCCCACCCCACCCCAGGGCCCTGGCCCTCTGGCAGCTGTCTGCCCAAACGCCTTCCTCACACGGGTGCGTTTTCCTACTAAAATCGTCTGTTCTTATTAGAAACTTCTCTTGTCATACTTTACTCATGAGTGTGGCTTCATTCTGGGTCCCAGGACGGATCTCTAATCTCAGAGATCTAGACCCAAAGAACAGAGCCGTTCACAAAACACTCCCGACCACCCGTGCAGCAACCAGACCTGAGGTGGGCCATCCCCTGTGCCCGGCCCTCCCTGTCGCAGACAGCCAGGCAGTGGCCCGGGCGCCCCCTGTCACCAGGGGAACTCAGCTCCCAGGGAGGGCCTGCAGTCCTGTCCACACCAAACCTTGCTCTGTTCGTCTCTGCCTCCCCCGCCTCTGCCCTGTGCGCTACCTGCTGGGCTGCTGGGTCTCACCTCCCCGAGGGGGGATGCCTCTCCGGCATCTGTGACTCCCACTGACTTAATGTGGCCACGGAGGAGAGCTCACGCCTCTGTTCATTCATGCCCCGCTCACCCTGCACCCCCACAGCGTCCCGCTGGCTCCCAAAACAGACAGTTCACATAGAGCCCCAGGCCCCGGATGGCAGCAGGGTTTCTGCATCTCCTCCGTGTCCCTTTGTCTGGGACCGAGTCACCCCCAGGGGACAGGAGGAGGGCAGGCTTCTCCAGGAAGTGATGCTGCCCGTGTGGCGGGCGGCATCGATCCCTCGGCCCGCCAGCGGAGGACCATGTTCCCGATCATTTAATTTTCTCTTCGGATGAAGCCTATTACAGCAGATCGATAGGCCTAGCTTCGGGGCTCCCACAGCGAACACGGGGCGATTAGACGGACCAGACTCAGTGGAGAGCCCCGTTCCTGCGCTCTGAGGTCCCTGCCGACACGCAGTCAGCGACTCTCAGAGGACACAGCACGGGCAGAGCCGCTGTGGTGTCCCGCCTGGGACTTCGACTGGGTTCACGCGATGAAATGTTCCTGAGTAAACGGGATTGAGAAAGACAGAACCACACCAGAAAATAAGCCTGGGCCTGCCAGGCAGGATGCAGGGACCCGGGGGATTAGGGATACCTGACGTCATGCAGAGAGTGGCCTGGCCCTGCAGATCCACTCAGCAGAGTGTGCCAGGAAAGCCCCCAGTGGCTAACGGCGGCCTGTTGGCCCTCCTGGGCACCTGCCACTTGGCACCTGGACAGGACCTCAGTCCTCTGCCTGCTAGGATCAGAGCCCCAGGCAGGGGTAGCCATCACGTCCAACTGAGGCCTCCATGCGCTGTTCCCTGCTTGGCCCTCCGCACCCAGCCTGACCTGCACCCAGAGCTGTTTCTCCAGAGCCCTGGCCCCCTGTGGGGGACAGCTGCAAAGTTAGGATGCTGAAAAGAGGGTGCTCAGGTGCTACGGGTGTGGCCGTGCTCAGCCAGAACAGAGGCCTGAGCGTGGGGCCTCTCCTGGCCGCCCTGCGATGTTAGCTTGGCCGAGGCTGGCAGGACCACACTCTGTAGGTGGTCAGCAGTGCCCACGCTTGTGTGTGCTTACTCGCCCAGAGATCTGCGGCAGATGCAGGGAACCTGGCTGGAGGCCAGCACACCCCACCAGTGGGACGCAGGCACCCCCGCCATGGAAGCACTGGATTCCCAAGAAGTGGAAGAAGAGCTGAGGATGCACGCCTTGGGAGAAGGGACAACCTGGTGACACAGCTACAAGAGAATGCCACAGTGACACAAGACTGGAGATGGTGCATGTCACTCGGTGATGTGCTTGTCACTGAGCAGCTCAAGGAGGCATAAAAGGCATTGCCTGTAAGAGCCTTGTGCCACTTGTGGGCCAGAGAGCACTCCAGGTGACAACCCGAAGTCATCAAAAGCACAACTGCCTTGTTCCTGAGTCACCGGACGCTTGAGTCACCCAGAGCCCATTAGCCCCCAGACAGAGTCCCAGGCAGCCAATTGCTGATTCTTCCTGGCCAAGCAGAGCCTCTTCCTGCCCTCTTCCTGGCGGAGAGGGAGCGGGCTCCTGTGGGGTGCTGGCTGCATTGGCACTGGGGGGAACGAGCTTGGGCTTCGCAGCACCTGGGCTCTGAGTGGGCTGGTCTTTCCGGGGAAAAGCGTATCTGAGCAACCTCAGCACAAAGGCCTCAGTGAGACCCTGGCCTACTCCTCAGGTGGCCACTGGGGATCTGGGCCAGCTCTGACTGCAGAGGCCTCGGCCGGCCTCCTCTGTGTGGTTTTCACGGTCAGGAGCACCATGGTGTTCAGACACGTGTGACAGGAAAGCAGCTCGATGTGAGCACCTTGCACTAGCAACAAAACGGAGAGTGTCGATGTGCAAATGCAACACGGACATAGGCAGGGACCAGCGCGAACCACTGGACGCGTCGCTGGTCACACCTGCGGGGACACGGAGGCGGCGTCTGCAGCCTGAGCACAGCATGGATACCCTGGGGCTCTGCTCTGGGAGCGGGGTTGAGGGAGGACGCGGTGCCTGCAAGGTTCCAGCCCTTCTCCTCTCTGCTCGGGGAAGCCTGTGCTACCTCTGGCCCTCCCTGGGCATGGGCACTTCTTCTTTTTTTTTGGAGAGGTTTTTGCTATAGGGCGTATGTGCTTGCCAGAAAGACACAGAGAGACAGAGAGACAGGAAGCGAGAAATCACACACACACCCGCCCCGGGGTGATATCCACATTGCAATCCCTTCTCCTCCATTCTCCTCTTGGGATCATGGGCACGCACGCACTCGCGTCCAGCATGAGTTCTAAGCCACCAGATTTGGGACTCAAACTACGGTCGACTACATGGGAGTCCTGCGACATAACCAGTACGCCAACTGCTGGTCCCTTTACTGCATGGGCACTTTACAGTCCTTCCTGATCGTCCTCACCCAAAGTCCTAACTATGAATACACATGTGGGGTAGGCAGAGAAAACCTGACAATATCCGGGTGAGCATCAGGGTTCGGTGCCTCTCCACCCGGAGTGGAATGCTTTCTGGGCTCCCTCGGCCGTGGGGCAGCCTACAGGTGAGACGCCATCTGCCCTGGGCAGCCTTCCTGAAACTGGGGAGCCGCTCACCAGGAATCCTAGGCCTCTGCTGCCCCTCGATGCTTGTCTGTGAGTCCCGAGCTTGCTTGCTTGACTCGTCCTGCTGCGTTCTCCCCCGGGCTAGACCTAAGAACGCATGTGGTGGAAGCAGGGCTGCCGCACAGCTGCTCAGCCGCGAGCGCCCGCTGGAGGCGAGAGCCATGCTGTCACGTCGGGGCCTCACTGCTGTCACGAGTGCATGAGCCCTATAGCAAAAACCTCTCAAGAAAAAAAAAAAAAAAAAAAAAAGCCTTGCAATGAGTTATTTCACAGATCAGTGTCTATAGTGGGTGTGGTTTACTAATTTAACGAGCGTGGTGTATTCTAAGTTGAATCTTCTTAAAGGCTGTAGAAAGCCTTGTTAAGGGTTTAGAATGACTGATGGATTATTTCCTCATCTTATAAAAGATACAATACTTGGCAGAATGTAAAATACACAGTTTCCTAAGGAGAAGTGAAGCTTTGCAATGTGCCATTAATAGAATGTGGACCTCAAAATCATTATGTCTCGGAGAGAGAGCCAGTCACGGGAGGTCCTCTGCTGTCTGGGGAGTCCCCTTGTACGGAATTCAGAGTGAGGAGGAGGATGGGGTGGTCAGGGTCTGGGGAAGGGTCTGGGCACGGGGGGGGCAAAGCCGGGCGGGAACTGCTTACTGGGTGTGAGGCTCCTCTGGGGTGACGAACGTGCTTGGAATTAGAGAAGGCAACGCCTGCAGGACAGTGAGTGTGCAATGGGGCTGAGTTGCACACTTTGAATAGTTTTTTTTTTTAATGCTTTTTTTTTTTTTTTTTTTTTAATTTGCCAGAGTGTGTGTGGACTCCCCTCACAGGAGAGAGACAGAGAGGGGAAATGAGAAGGGCCTCTGTGGGGCATGGTCACCCTATCGCCCTCCTCCTCCGTCTCTCCAGCGAATGCACACATCCTATAATAAAAATGTCTCTTAAAAATTATTTTTAAAAATTCTATAAAAGGTGTACTAATTTTTGAAAATAAAATCATATGGGACCAGCATGTGGCATAGTGGTTAAGGTGCAGACTCCCACATGGTCTACTGCAGTTCCAGTCCCAGGCCCTGTGGCTGGAGACACTTAGGATGGGTGTGCGTGTGTGTCCAAAATCCCGAGAGAATGGAGAAGGGATTGGGATGTGGCCTTTCCCCTGGGGGGGGATTTCTCCCTTTCTGTCTCTGTCTCTCTGGTGAGTGCACATGCCCTATAGCAAAAATCTCTCTATTTTTTTTTTTGAATCATAAAATACACATAAAACCTGACAATTCTAACCATTTTCAAGTGGTATTAGGTATTAAGTGGTGTTAATAACGTCCATGTTCCTGTGCAACCATCCGTGTGTTCCAGGTCACTTCCTATCTTGTAAAACTGAGCTCTACCCGTTCAGCACTGCGACGGCTGGTTACCGCCCGCCCTGGCAACCGCCACCCTGCTTCCCGTCCCTCCCCTGACAGGCTAGGTCCTCTGCTGACGCAGTTTCCTGTGACCGGCTTATTTCTCGTAGCATCAAGCCCTCAGGCTTTTCCCGAGTCGAAGCCTGCGCACTGGCATCTCCTTCCTGGCTAGGGCTGAAACACTTCCTGGAATGAGCGCGGCCTCTTCTGTGTGTCATCGGATGGATTTGGCCCCGTCCACGTTCTAGCTACTGTGGGTGCTGCTGCTGGACTGAAGCGTGCAGGGACCTTTGGCTCTAGACCCCGAGGAGGAACTGCTGTGCACCAGGCAACTCCATCGGCTTTCGAGTTATCACCATATACCACGGTCACTTTTATGGATGCACCTCAACAAAAAATATTTTGGTGACTTACCTCCATCGAGGAGGCGCGTGCAATCCTATAGTTTGAAAGCACTAAGGCTCGAACTTCTCTACCGCGACTTGGGGAAGCCAAAGGCTCCCCCGAAGGAGAGACTAGATGGAACCCCTTTGAGCATGGTTACCTGACTCCCAGACGCAGTCCGGCCTCTCCGCCTGGCATGCTGGGAGGCCGCCCTGGGAGCCCAGGGGCTCTCCTCCTCGGAGGTGTCCACGTCGGCCAGGTAGTGGGAGGGGGGCTGCTCGTCCATCGTGACAGCGATGCCTACGGAGTGCGACAGGTTTGGTCACTGGGTGACAAGCTGAGAGCCAGTAATCACGGTTTTGACCAATGAAGAACCATGAAAAGTGGAAGAAAATAAGGACATGAAGTGCTATGGGGCCAAGATCCTGAAGTCACATAAAAGAGCAGGAGGCAGGTGGTGGTGCAGTGGTGGGTAATGCAACTGCACCACAGGGAAGGTTCTGGGTTCGAGTCCGGAGGCCTCCCTGTGCACATGTACGATCCAGCTGGCTGGGGCTGGGGTGGACTGGAGCACAAGGGCTCTTCTGGGTGCCTGTCTCTCTGTCTCTCTCTCTCTCATGGAAGATATAAACTTTAATAAAAAAAGAGTGGAGTGGATTTCCTGACCCACACAAGGATCTTCAGAGGAAGAAGGCCCTGCCCGGTGCTCAGGGTGGGGTTTGAAGAGCTGACGCTCTCCATGTGTGCAGGGGGACTGTCACTCCGTGTGTGGAGCAGGGGGGAGGGTCTGGGGGTCTCCTTCAGGGGGGCCCCTGGGAAGCCTTTCCACACGGCACTTTCCTTCTAGACTGGGGGTGGGGGGACCCAGCTTTTCCTGGGCCAGGATCCTCTGCGGTGTGCCTTGTAAAATGCTTGTTCCTGGGCCCTGGCTGGAGATGCTCACGCAGCCAGCAGGGAGGTCCCACTCGCACGGGGACACCCACGCCGACTATCTCACCAGCTAGCAGCATGGCCAAGCTGCTGTGGATTCTGCCGGTGAGTGTGGGAGAGGCCCGAGTTCCCAGTGAGACTCCGGCCCCCACCCTAGCCCCTAGCACGCTTTGGTTTCAGCCCGGGAGCCCTGTGTGGAGGACGTGATTAAACCCAGCCTACGCCTGACCCCGATGAGATCATGAATGTGTGCTTTAAGTGGTGTGTGATGACGCTGCACACAAACCGTCAACAGCTGTGACCGTGACCCCGGCTCCCTACAACCGTGGGATGTGGCAGACATGAACCCTCTGTATGACGAGGAAACGGAGCACAGTGAGGTTAATTAAGCAACTGGATCACGGAGTCAGCATATTCCACCAAGAATCAGACCTTGGTGCTGGCCCCATAGCTTAGAGGTTAAGGGAGCCAGCTCTCACGTGGTGGACTATGGTTCAAATCCCAGCTCTGGAGGCAAGAAGAACACAGAGGGAGCAGGTGCAAGTGTGTGTGCACGCATGCCCAGCATCCCGGCAGGATGGAGCGGTGGACGGGGAGGGTGTTCTCCCTCTCCCTCTCCCTCTCTGGCGAGTCTGCCTTCTCCCTAGCAAGTACACACACTGTCTGGCAATTAAAACAGAAACTCAGCTCTTGAAGCCTGTTTGCTGCACATTTAAAAAGAGGGGACTTGGGGCCAGCAGATGGCATAATGGCTACATCACTGGGCTCCTACATAGTTGACAACAGTCTGAGTCCTGGACCTGGTGGCTTAAACTCACGCCGGGCGCGTGCGCATGTGTGCATGGCCAAGATTCCAAGAGGAGGATGGAAGAAGAGGTTGTGACGTGGCCATCCCCCCGGGGGTGGCTTCTTGCTTTCTATCTCTCTGTCTCTCTCTGTCTTTCCGGTGAGCACATGCACCCTACAGCAAATTACTCTCTTAAAAAAATTAAAAAAATAAAAAGCAAGGATGCTGCCATATTCCCTCCTTGCCACATTCACCTTGAGGTACTTCCTATCTTTTAAGAGACAGTGGTTCGGGACCAGCAGTTAGCGTAATGGCTATGTCACTGGACTCCCATGTAGTCGACCGTGGTTCGCATCCCAGACCTGGTGGCTTAAGCTCAAGCCAGGTACGTGTGTGTGCGTGCCCAATATCCTGAGAGGATAATGGAGAAGGAATTGTAGTGTGGCCATCCCCCCTGGGGGGTGATTTCTCACTTTCTCTGTCTCTCTCTGTCTGGTGAGCACATGCGCCCTATAGCAAAAACCTCTTCAAAAAAACAAAACAAAACAAAACAAAAAAAGAGACAGTGGTTCATGGAAAAAGTGAGAGCCGAGGAAAGGGCCAGTGAGCGGGGCTTCAAGGCCACAGCTGCACAGCTGCCCGCCTCCAAGGGCGCCCCAGCCTCTCCCACCCCGCCTCCTCTGTCC